GTTTGTTTTATATTTATTTAATTCTTTATTTACTTTTTATTTATTTGCAAGGCAAAGGGACAGAGAGACACAGAGAGATCTCCCATTTGCTGGTTCACTGCCCCAAATACCTACAACTGTTGGGTCTGGGCCAAGCTGGAGCCAGGAGCCAGGAACTCCATCCAGGTCTCCCACATGAGTGGCAGGGGCCCAAGTACTTGAGCCATTATCTGCCGCCTCCCAAGGTGCGCATTAGCAGGCAGCTGGATCGGAAGTAGGCACTCCAATATGGCGTGTGGGTATCCCAAGTGGTAACTTGGCCTTTTATGCACAAAGCCTGCCCCTCACGGTATATATTTTTTTAAAAGAATTACACTTTCAGGAATGTCAGTGTGGAAAAATCCATCACTTGCGAGTGATGGGAAAATGATTTAAGCACTAAGATGCTTTATTATTTCTTCTAGAAAGCCATGGGGTGGGGGCTTGCGGCACTGGGCGTGCGGCCAGCTGGAGCCTGTGACTTAGTCCCAGACCACCCTCTCAGCCCCTGGTCACCCTGGACGTTGCACCTGTGCGCATGGCTGCCCCGCCCTGTCTGCTTCTGCAGGTGCCTGGTGTCCCAGAGAATTAAAACACACGTAGCCGAAGGGCAGTAAACGGAAGTGGACCACAGTGAGGTGGACGAATGACTTTCCCAGGTATCTATGTCCTAGCCTAGCAGTTCTAAGACATCAGTTAGCAGGGTGGCGGGGTGGTGCAGTGGGATAAGCTGCTGCTTGCGATTCCAACTGTGGCATCCCATATGGGAGTGCAGGTTCAAGTCCTGGCTGCTCTGTTTCCAGTTCAGCCTCCTGCTAATGCGCCTGGGAAGGCAGCAGAAGATGCCCAACTGCTTGGGCCCCTGAACCCATTGCGAGACCTGGATGGAGTTCCTGGCTCCTGGCTTCAGCCTGGCCCAGACTTGACTTTGTGGCTATTTTTGGGAATGAATTAGTAGATGGAAGATCTTTCTCTTTCTCTCTCTCTCACTCCCTCTTCCTCCTCACTCTGCCTTTCAAATAAATTCATGGCCGGCGCCGCGGCTCACTAGGCTAATCCTCCACCTAGTGGCGCTGGCACACCGGGTTCTAGTCCCGGTCGGGGCGCCAGATTCTGTCCCGGTTGCCCCTCTTCCAGGCCAGCTCTCTGCTGTGGCCAGGGAGTGCAGTGGAGGATGGCCCAGGTGCTTGGGCCCTGCACCCCATGGGAGACCAGGAGAAGCACGTGGCTCCTGCCTTCGGATCAGCGCGGTGCACCAGCCGCAGCGTGCCGGCCACGGCGGCCATTGGAGGGTGAACCAATGGCAAAGGAAGACCTTTCTCTCTGCTCTGTCTCTCTCTCTCACTGTCCACTCTGCCTGTCAAAAAAAAAAAAGATATGTTTATGAATTTTTTTTTAAATTTTTTTTGATAGGCAGAATGGACAGTGAGAGAGAGAGACAGAGAGAAAGGTCTTCCTTTGCCATTGGTTCACCCTCCAATGACCGCACCACGCTGATCTGATCAGGGCCACGAGCCACGGAGTGTGGTGGGCGTCAAGAAGTTAGGAAAGGCAAAGGAATCTGCTCCCAGGTGCCAGCGTCAGGGCACAGCGGGTTTAGCTGTTGCCTGGCATGCCGACATCACTTAGGGGGACAGGTTTGAGTCCCGGCTGCTCCACTTCCAATCCAACACCCTGCTAATGCGCCTGGGAAGGCAGTGGAGGGTGGCCCAAGTGCTTGGGCTCCTGCCATCTAGACAGGAATAGAGTTCCAGGCTCCTGGCTTTGACCTGGCCTGGCTCTGGCTGTTGCTGTCATTTGGGGAGAAGGGAGGGAACTAGTGGAGGGAAGCTCTCTCTCTCTCTCTGCCTTTCAAAAAAAAGAGATCTTTCCCAAAAAGCTTAAAAAATTAAACAAGCAACAGTGGCCATTGTGAAACTAAACACAGAGGATTAAAAATGAAAATCACCCACAATTCCACCCCCCAGCTTTGTGTGAAGAACTTTTCGGCCGGCACCGCGGCTCACTAGGCTAATCCTCTGCCTTGCGGCGCCAGCACACCGGGTTCTAGTCCCGGTCGGGGCGCCGGATTCTGTCCCGGTTGCTCCTCTTCCAGGCCAGCTCTCTGCTGTGGCCAGGGAGTGCAGTGGAGGATGGCCCAAGTGCTTGGGCCCTGCACCCCATGGGAGACCAGGATAAGTACTTGGCTCCTGCCTTCGGATAGGCGCGGTGCGCCGGCCACAGCACGCCAGCCGCAGCGGCCATTGGAGGGTGAACCAACGGCATAGAAAGACCTTTCTCTCTGTCTCTATCTCTCACTGTCCACTCTGCCTGTCAAAAAAAAAAAAAAAAAGACCTTTTCATGTGATTTTTCTCATGGACATCTCTACTTCGTATGATCCCTGTTATTATTCTTAAGGCACACAGCTGGGGTCTGAGCGCCATGCACTGGGATCCTGGCACACATGTACACTTGTGCAGCCTGTCTTCAGGGAGCCTGGGGAGCCCAGCCCAGGGCAGAGAGAGGAGCTGTGGTGGCCAAGGTCAACATGCCCGGGTAAGCACGCCCCAGGGGTGCCACCTGCTCATGAAGTGGGGCTCGCGGGGCAGTCAGTGTTGGTCCGCTTCCGCTAACCAGAGCCACTCCCTGTCACCCCCTTCTCTCCCCAGTCCTCCTTAACGATGTCTTCATCAATTTGAAAGGCAGAGTTACTGGGCAGGGGGCAGGTGGAGACAGAGAGATACACAGAGATTGTCTACCTGCTCTTCACTCCCGGAGCGGTTGTAATGATCGAGGCTGGACCAGGCTGAAGTCAGGAGCTTGGATTTCCATCTGGGTCTCCCATGTGGGTGCAGGGGCCCCAGTACCTGGGCCATCCTGCACTGCTTTCCTTGGGTGCATTAGCAGGGAGCTGGATTGGAAGCAGAGCAGCCGGGACTCGAATCAGCGCTCCAATATGGATGGCAGCACGACAAGCAGCGCCTTGCCCCGCTGCGCCACACGGCAGCCTCTTCTCTCTTTTGAGGGGCGGGGAGAGAAGAGACTCAATGTGAGGAGCTCCTCACCTTTCCATGCATTTTAAAATTATTTAAATAATTAAGACAGGGCCGGCGCTGTGGCTCACTTGGTTAATCCTCAGCCTGCGGCGCCGACCTCCCATATGGGCGCCGGGTTCTGATCCCGGTTGCTCCCCTTCCAGTCCAGCTCTCTGCTGTGGCCCGGGAAGGCGGTGGAGGATGGCCCAAGTGCTTGGGCCCTGCACCCGCATGGGAGACCAGGAGGAAGCACCTGGCTCCTGGCTTCGGATCGGCGTAGCTCCAGCCGTGGTGGCCATTTGGGGAGTAGACCAACGGAAGGAAGACCTTTCTCTTTGTCTCTTTCACTGTCTATAATGCTGTCAAATAAATAAGTAAGACAGAAGGGCCGGCACAGTGGTGCAGTGGGTTAAAGCCTCTGCCTGCAGTGCCGGCATCCCATATGGGTGCCGGTTCGAGTCCCGGCTGCTCCTCTTCTGATCCAGCTCTCTGCTGTGGCCTGGGAAAGCAGTGGAAGATGGCCCAAGTGCTTGGGCCCCTGCACCTGCCTGGGAGACCTGGGGGAAGTTCCTGGCTCCTGGCCCAGCTCTGGCTGTTGGCAGCATTTGGGGAGTGAATCAGCAGATGGAAGACCTTTCTGTCCCTCCCTCTTGCTGTCTGTAACTCTGCCTCTCAAGTAAATAAATAAATCTCTAAAAAAAAAAAAAAAAAACCATTCAGAGATCGGGCTGGCTGCTGTGCTGGAGGGGCCACTCCTGCTGAGCTGTCGCTTCCTCCCTGCCCACAACACGGAAGAACGGTCCCGAGCTGAGCCACGCTGGGGGCAGCCCTGGGGAACCCCACGCACGGAGCGAGGCCTACCCAGAGCACAGCTGTGAAAGACGACTCACGGTTGTGCTCGCAAGGGACCCACCAGGTGCTCTGCATTGTGGGGAAACGGAGGCACAGACCCTGCAGCTACGAGGTGGAGACTGGAACCTGGCATCCCGGTCACGGCAGCCACGCTGCCAACCGGGATGCTGTGCTGCCTCCGGGCACCACCAGACATGGATGAAGGGATGGAGGACAGGAGCGGGAACGTGAAAGACAATGATGACGTCTCTGCTTTGTCATGGGACGGCTGGCACATACAGTTACACGTGTAGCACACACGTGTTATAAAACAATGAACATGCTTGAGCCTTGAGCCCACTGCTGATCTAGGACTACAACAACACAAAGCTGCCAATGATTTGTATCCACTGTGCCAGTGGTCAGCCTTGGCTGCACACTGAGTACATGTGGGGAACCTTGAAAACCATAGGTACTCTCAGGGCACCTGGTGGGATTTGCCTGGGCATCTGGAGACACAGAGACAGGTAGATAGACAGACAGACAGACAGAAATCCCATAGGCTGGTCCACTCCCTAAACGCCCACAACACTGAGGGCTGGGCCAGGAGGAAGCCAGGAACCAGGAACTCCATCTGGGTCTCCCACATGGGCGGCAGGAATCCCGCCACCTGAGCCAAGGTGCACGTTAGCGGGAAGCCAAGCCAGGACTCTCACCCAGGCCCTGGGATGCGGAATGCGGGCATCTCAGTCTCAACCGCTATGCCAAACACCCAACTCCATTTGGGCTTTCAAGAGCTCCCTGGTTGACTCCCAAGTAAAGCCATTATTTGAGAACCACTGGTTTATATTCCCCTTGACTTCCTGCCCCCTTTACAGTTTACCTTCACTCCTTCCAGGTAGCCACCATCCTGGATTTTGGGAGGGGGTGGATTCTTTGTCTCCCTCCTTCCCCGTGTCAAGAACTTTAGACGTTTGCGATTGGTCTCCCGCCCACCACCAGGGGGCGCCAGAACAAAAATGTCTCATTTTCCTTCGGCGTGCATCTGGTATCGCGCTGGAAGTGGTTTGGCCCTTGCGGCGCTCCGTCCTCGGGCCGGTTGCCGGGGCAACTAGCGGACAGGAAACGGCCGGCGTCGGTGTTGCGGCGGGAACTGTGCGGGCCGGGTTGGGGCGTGCGGGAGCTCCGGGCGGCGCGGAGGAACGTGAGTCTGGCGGTGGGGACCCGGGCGGTCGGTCCCGGCTCCGCGGCCGACGCGGATGTGGAGGTCGAGGCTGAGAGCGGGGTGCACCTTGTGCGGGGAGCGGCGCAGGGGGCCGGTGGCCCATCCCGGACCGGCTGCCCGGGCCGAGGCGAGCTCGGCGTGTGCTTGGCCTGCAGCGGGCTCGGGCCCGAGGGGGCTCTGCGTCTGAGGTTCTCGGCGTGGACTTGGCTTCGTGCGCCTCCCCGCGCCCGGGCACCTGCTGCGTTGTGGGGGAGGGTGGTCTCCAGGTCGCCCAGGGGAACCCGAGTCCTCTCCCAGGGTCCTGGCTTTCCCCCGAACGCTCCCGGTGTGACAGCTTGTGTTCCTTGTTTTCTCTACTTCCTGTCCTTGTGATGCTGAGCAAGGCCCTTCCCTCGGTGCCGGATAGCGGGGTGGCTGCACGAAGGGGAGGCGGCGTGCACGCCTAGTGCCTGCCACCCAGGGACAGTCCCCAAAGTGTTGTCCCTGCCACCCGGTGTGCCTCTTGCAGCCTTGCTAGGCCAGTCCCCGGTGGTGGGCGGTCCACAGCCAGGGGTCGGCCGGGTCATGCCGTCCACTGGCAGCCCTGGCGCAGGGCATGGCGCAGCCCCCCTCCCCCGGTCAGGAGTGGGACCCGATGGGCACGTACATACATATTTTTTAAAGCTGCAATAGGCGATGCCTGCGTGCAGCCGAGGGCTGAGGCCAAGCTTGGAGGCCCCCCGGGGCTGGCAGTCACCCCGTGTTCCCGCCGTTGCCGCCTCCCCCTCCCCCCCAGATGGCCCTCCCCACGCTGCCCTCG